TTTTCTTTTCTTTTCTTTTCTTTTCTTTTCTTTTCTTTTCTTTTCTTTTCTCTTTTCGTTCTGCCAGAGTGTAAATGGGGGAGGGGCAGAGGGATAGAGAAGCTTAAGCAGGGTTCATACCCAAGCCCAGCATAAAGCCTGATGTGGGGCTCGATCCCAAGACTGAGATCATGAACTGAGCCAAACTCAACTGTCAGATGCTCAACCGACTGAGCTATCCAGGCACCCCAATAGTAGGTATTCTAAGTCCTTTATGTTGTAGAAGTTTTCTTAGAAATAGATTGGCCTTTTGGGTTGAAGAAACATAGGGCAAAGTTAGCCAATACTCTTTTTTTTCTTCCAAGTTTTTATTTAAATTCCAGTTAGTTAACATACACTGTAATATTAGTTTCAAGTGTAGAATTTAGTGATTCATCACTTATATAGAACACCTAGAGCTCATCACAAGTGCCCTCCTTAATACCCATCACCCATATAACCCATTCTCCCCACATACCTCCCCCCTCCAGCAACCCTCAGTTTCTTCTCTGTAGTTAAGAGTCTGTTTTTTGGTTTGCCTCTCTTTTTTCTTCCCCCATATTCATCTGTTTTGTTTCTTAAATTCCACACGAGTGAAACCGTATGGTATTTGTCTTTCTCTGACTTACTTATTTTGCTTAGCATGATACTTTCTAGTTCCATCCACATCATTACAAATGGCAAGATTTCATTTTTTTATGGCTGAGTAATATTCCATTGTATGTATATACCACATCTTTATCCATTCATCAGTCCATGGACGTTGGGCTCTTTCCTTAATTTGGCTATTGTTGATAATGCTGCTATAAACATCGGGGTGAATGGATCCCTTCAAATTAGTACTTTTGTATTCTTTGGGTAAATACCTAGTAGTGCAATTGCTGCTGGGTTGTAGGGTAGTTCTATTTTTAACTTTTTGAGGAACCTCCATACTATTTTCCAGAGTAGTTAGCCAATAATTTTGTCACTCGGAGGACATTTCCTTGTTCCTATGCCTTGGTATAAAAACTCAGGCACTATTTAATATCACTTCCTTAGTCCATCTGTTCTTTTGGTAATGTTCTTGCTTTCCCTTCTAGAGCTAAAGTTGCAGACAAGATCCAGCTGATCAATAATATGCTGGACAAAGTCAATGAGATGATTATTGGTGGTGGAATGGCTTTTACCTTCCTTAAGGTGCTCAACAACATGGAGGTAGGAAACCAATGCTAAGTGGATGTGAAATCGCTCTCCATGAGAAATAGCAGGTTATGTAAATTTAAAAAGCAAACCAGCTTCTGACATGAGCCCTAACAAAACTTCCATTTTTATTTATTTTGAAAGTTGTTTTTCTTTTGTCCTGGAATTGTTTCTTTATATTGTATTGTATCTTATTCCTATGCTTTGTGAGGTAGTCATGTTCTTAGTGTAGAGGCTGATCTTCATCTTGGCTCCTGTGTATAGATTGGCACTTCTCTGTTTGATGAAGAGGGAGCCAAGATCGTCAAAGATCTGATGTCCAAAGCTGAGAAGAATGGTGTGAAAATTACTTTGCCTGTTGACTTTGTCACTGCTGAAAAGTTTGATGAGAATGCCAAGACTGGGCAAGCCACTGTGGCCTCTGGCATACCTGCTGGCTGGATGGTGAGTCACTTGGGTGGTTGGTAATATGAGTGAACAAAAACATTTTGATTTCATTCATTCGTTCATTCATACAATCACTCACTTCTTCACCCATTCATTCAACCGACTAGCAAACATTTTAAAAGATGCTCTACAGGAAATCTCTGTCAGAGAGGGCTCCAAGTGTAGCAGTGAGACCCTCCTCAAGAGAGAATCCATGGGGGAAAAAGCAATGGTATGATTGCTGCTGTCTTCATCAGTAATGTGGGGGCAAAACCATGTTTTGTTTCCTCGTTTATTTAAGGTTTATTAAGTACTTGACTATATGCTGGGGATGGTGCTATGTACTATCATGATTTGGACTGTTCTGGATTATGTTGTTACCTAGAAACCTATATAAAAATCTTATATGAAAACATTAAGATAGAATTATACTGATTATAAAGAGGAAAAAAGGTGTGTGTACATTAAAGACTAAATAGTTGATTGTAGTGTTCTGTACATATCATTTTTTATTTTATTTTATTTTTTTTTAAATTTTTTTTTCAACATTTATTTATTTTTGGGACAGAGAGAGACAGAGCATGAACGGGGGAGGGGCAGAGAGAGAGAGGGAGACACAGAATCGGAAACAGGCTCCAGGCTCTGAGCCATCAGCCCAGAGCCTGACGCGGGGCTCGAACTCGCGGACCGCGAGATCGTGACCTGGCTGAAGTCGGACGCTTAACCGACTGCGCCACCCAGGCGCCCCTGTACATATCATTTTTTAGAGAGAGTGTGAACAGGGGAGAGGGGCAGAGGGAGAGAAAAAGAGAATCTTAAGCAGGCTCCACACTTAGCCCATGGCTGGACTTGGGGCTTGATCCCATAACCCGGGGATTATAACTGCTGAGCCAAAATCAAGAGTTGGATGCTCAACCAACTGAGCCACCCAGGCACTCCTCCACATACTATCATTTTAATAGCTGTATAAAATCATATGTTGACAAACTAGTTTGCTTACTCATTTTCCTTTTGTTAAGCATGTGGATATTATTTATTTCATTGTTTCTCAAAGTGTGGTTCCAAGAATAGCAGCATCAGCAACATTTTGGAACTTGTTAAAAAAAAAAAAATGCAAGTTTCAGAGCCCTACCCCCGATTTACTGAATCAGAAATTCTGGGAGTTGGGACCAGCAATTTTTGCTGGAACAAGCCCTCCTTGTGATTCCAGTGCATGCCAAAGTTTGAGAACCATTGAATCTAGATCAGTATTTCTCAACCTTGGCACTATTGACATCTCAGGTAGTTTTTGTTGTGGGAGCTGTCCTGCACATTGCAGGATGTTGAGCAGCATCCCTGACTTTTACTCGCTAGATGTCAGTAGAATCTCCCCCTTCTTCCCAAGTTGTGACAACCAAATGTCTTCATACGTTGCTACATGGCCCCTGGGGATGGGCAGAATTGACCCTGGTTGAAAACTACTGATTTAGTTCTTCATAGTCATAGTGTGGTTAAGAATTTTTTTTTTTTTTTAATCAAATAACCTGAGGTTTTCCCTTCCATTTGATCTTCCATAAAGGGCACGAGCAGGTTTATCATTTTAAAGACTGAAGGGTATCTTTTGGTTCTACAAGAAACTCTAGTGTTCTGCCTTGAGTTCAGGCCTTGGTGGAGGTGGTATTTACTTCTGTAAGTAGCTTTTCTTGGTAACTCATCTTTAATTCTGCCTCCTAGGGCTTGGATTGTGGTCCTGAGAGCAGCAAGAAGTATGCTGAGGCAGTCGCTCGGGCTAAGCAGATTGTGTGGAATGGCCCTGTGGGCGTATTTGAATGGGAAGCTTTTGCCCAAGGAACCAAAGCCCTCATGGATGAGGTGGTGAAAGCCACTTCCAGGGGCTGCATCACCATCATAGGTACAGGATTCTCTACAAAGTTAATGCCAGTGTGATCTGACTGAATTCTGATCAGCAGGAAGTAGAAGGGAAATGATTAAGTTTTAGTGAGCTTCTTGCTACCAGTTGAATCTTGAGAGCTGAATGGGTGTGTATAATCCATGGAAGAACATCTTAATAAGATGGAGTTGGGGGTTCGTCAGCTACCTTTTGGGCTTACGAGCATACTGCCTTATAGTTTGGTGCCAATACTTTTTATTTTTTTTCTTTTAACTTGGCTTTCATTCAACAGGTGGTGGAGACACTGCCACTTGCTGTGCCAAATGGAACACAGAGGATAAAGTCAGCCATGTGAGCACTGGGGGTGGTGCCAGTTTAGAGCTCCTGGAAGGTGAGATTCTTCTGTTCCTAGGCTTGTTTGGGGGAAGGTGGGGGGTTATGTGGTGAGAAGTGGGTAAAATGGAGTGGAGCTAGTAGGTAGTGTTGTCATTACTGTTCATTATTAGCTGGACAGTACAAATGGAGGAACTTCAAATAAGGCTCCTAGCATCCATTTTGGGTTGGGAGGGGCAGAGAGGAAGACTTATTCCAGAGAGGTTACACTCTAGTAGACCTGGGATCCAAAATGTAAAAGTTAACCAACTCTTGGTCATAGATCTATCCTAAGGAAGAGCAGACATGTTATTGGGACATGTTGGGAAGATAGGAGGCATATCTGGCTTCATGGTCCTATAGTAATGCTGTCTGTGTGTGTGTGCTTTCTCAAAAACAGGTAAAATCCTTCCTGGGGTGGATGCTCTCAGCAGTGTTTAGTACTTTCCTGCCTTTTGGTTCCTGTGCACAGCCCCTAAGTCAACTTAGCACTTGTTGCATCTCTACTTGGCATTAGCTAAAATCTTCCCCCATGTCAAGATTCAGCTAGTGGCTAAGAGATGTAATGCCAGGAACCCTTAAAACAGTTGCACGGCATCTCAGCTCTTCTTTACTGCACCCTGGATTTGCCTACATTCTTCAAGATACCATTTGAATTTCTTAGTGACTAAACCATTGTGCATTCTAGATTGCATATATTTATATTTTGCCTGTTAAAAGAAAATGAGCTGTGTTAGCTTCTCTTTTTGAAGTAGCTTATTCTGATTAGCTTTGTCATTGTTTCACTGCTCAGAACGGAAATAAGATGATATTCTAATGGTAGGTAGGGAGACAAAGTTGGTGATCTATTCAATAAATAATAAAAGTATCCATTGAAATGGGATTATTTTTTTCCTGTCATACTTTGTTAGGTTGAGAACAGAATCTTGAGGGAAGAGATCAAATCAGCTACATTGTGAATGCAAGAGACGGGGCAGCAGTGGTGGGGGGGTAGGGGAGATTAGATAAATGTGTACTTTTAAAAAATGTTTATTTTTGGGAGAGTCGGGGAAGGGAAGAGTGAAAGGGGGAAAGAGGATCTGAAGCAGGCTCTGAGCTGACAGCAGAGAGCCTGATGCGGGTCTCAAACTCATGAACCGTGAGATCATGACCTGAGCCAAAGTTGGATGCTTAACTGAGTGAGCCACCTAGGTGCCCCATAAATGTGTACTTATTTTATTGAATCCCTACTTTATGGCAGATAATGTGATAGGTGGTTTATTTTTTTATTTTTTATTTTTTTGTTTGTGTTTTAAAGACAGTGAATGGGCGGGGAGGGGCAAAGGGAGAGGGAGAGAATCTTAAGCAGGCTCCATGCCCAGTGCAGAGCCTGATGTGGGGTTTGATCTCAGTGAGATCATGACCTGAGCTGAAATCAGGAGTCAGACACCTAACTGACTGAGCCACCCAGGCACCCTGGTGCTTTATTTTAGATTTTATTTTTATCTGTTACACATGACCATAATTTAAAAACGTCAAGGCTTATGACAACAAAATAGGCTTCAGCCCATTCCTCCCATTTGTGATTTCCATCCCCCAGAGATGACTGCTTTCAACACTTAGCTTTTTTCTGGTACTTACCTCCATGTTTCTGTAACATACTTAATATTATTAATCTCTTGATTTTTACGAAACGATATGTATTAATGCCATGCCATGGGAAGATTTAGCATTCTTATAGCCTCTGTTCCACATATACTTCCCTTCTTAATTTGCCCAGTATAGTTTTGTTATAATCCTAGATTACATCAGTAGTCTACATTGTGATTATAAATAATATTCACAGCTGAGCTATGTCATATGGTATGATTATATAATGTACCTTTTTATTTTATTTGGGGTTAGTAAGTTTTGAAAGTTTACTTTTTTTCTATGTACCTATCGCTGATTCATACCCAGTGTATTCAAACATGTGAGACAAGTCTTCATTTTTATTAGCGATATTCCTCCTGGAGTCCTCTGCTTCCACTCCAGTTTACCCTGGCTGCCTTCTAGGTTTGCTATATAGCTGTTGCTCTGGGATTTCTTTTTCTAGAAGAAATCCCTTTGGGGTAACCCTGTTGGGGATTCCTTTTACCTCCTGTGTTGGGCCTCCCTTTTCCTGGATTCCTTTTCCCCCTTTTTTCTTGCTTGACTCTTTTTGTGAAACACAGAACTCTACTAGCTTCCTGAGGAGTACCTGGGACTCAGAGTTTTTGAGACCTTTTATGTCTGAAAATGTCTTTATTCAGCCCCTAATACTTGCCTGTTTGGCTATATGTAGAATCAGTGTACATATCCGTTTCCCAGATTTCAAGGCTTTGCTTCATTGTCATTGCTTAAAATCTAATGACATTCTGCACTTGATCTTAGCAAAAAGGCTGAGAAGTGATTCTAATGACATTGATTCATGTATTATCCTTGTAACTTTCCCTTCCTTTTTCTTTCCTGTCATTTTAATGGAGTTTTGGGAGTGAGCAGAGGTAAACATGAGATTTCAAAAGTCTGCAGGGTATTTTACATACTAGATGTGTATTTCACCTTTCTTAAGAAACAAGATCTTGGACAGGATCACAAAGCTAGTATGTAACAGCAGGGATTCAAGTTCAGGTTTGTTGGACTCCAAAGGCTGCTTTTTCATTGTGCCTTACTCCCCGAAATGATGCTTCTAGCCTAGGAGTATTTAACTCTAGAGAGAAGAGCAAAAGAAAATTTTGGTGGTTGCTTTTAAACAAAACAATTTTGAAGGCTTGAATTTTTAAAAAAATCATTTGAATTTTAATATTGTCCCCATAGTTGTAGTAAATTTTAAAATGCACCATGTTTCTGCATACCTCTAATGGTACACTATATCCTGGTGTGAGAAGCAGGAATTCTAGGCTGATTTTTTTGTAGAGGTGACCCAGAGGTGCTATTCATAGATCCAGCAAATTAATGTTACAGCTGGGCTAGACTTCCCCCCCCACCCACTGATTACCTTCCTGCAACATTTTATTATTTCATATGTACAGAGGAATTGCAACATTTTATTTAATATGTACAGAGGAATTAAAAGAATTATATAAACACCTGTAAACCTAGCACTTAGATTCTACAACTGTCAATTCATCCATCCACCAACCTGGATTGTACCTTTTAAGTACTTTCTACTAGACTCTGCTTCCAGGATCATTCTCCATTTATTTGTTCATTAATCCAGAGAATGAATGGGGAAACACAAATAGCCAAATATTTGAGTACCTGCCATATGCTTAGGACATAATGTAGGGAATATAAGATAGCATTTATGTCCTGAAGAAATTCACCACCTAGTTGAGAAAGGTAATATGTAACAAACAACTTGTGAGCACATAAACTAGAATAGTAGTACAAGGATGTGCTTCCTGGTTTAATACAGAATTATGAATTATTGATAAAATATTGAAAAGTTTTAGCATGTGTCACAAATTCAGTTTTAACCTCCATATGATAGATGTATATGCCTGTATAGAGATTATGATCTTTCTGTCATCAACCAATTCAGTCTCTTAAACTCTGTGTTTCCTACTTTCCTTGTTTTCTTTATGTCCAAAACTTCCCTCTAGCACATGATACAAAAGTCAAAAAGGGGTATACAATGAGAAGACACCTTCCTACCTCAGTCCCCCAACTACCAGTTACCCTCTTTAGAAACAGCTACTGTCAGACTGGTTTCATTCATTCTAGAGCTACTTAATGTATATAAAAAGCATATCCTATGTATGTATATACATATAAATTAAAATATATATGGTAGCCTACTATACACACTGTTTTGAATGTGCTGTTCTGATTAGTGTTGTCTTTCCTAACTCTTGAGTACTTTCACTCTGGACTTCTTGGGACCAGTGTGCATTATGTTTTCTATTTTCCCCACATACTGGCTGTACTCCTATATTCATACTCAGATCAAAAACACTTGTTTCCCACTTGTAAAAGGAAGAACTTGGGACAACAATGTCCTCACCACATTTACCTTCAGTAACTTAAAAAATTCCACCTAGAAGCTGGAGGACAAGAGCTGCCTTAAGTCATTTTAGAAGCTATATTGGGTGGATGCAATTATAGGGAAGGGAGATCTGCAAGATAAAGCAGTCTGCATTTGAAAGAGCAGTGCATCCCCTGGCTGACCTAGCAAGTGAATGAACACTCCAACTGCAGTCTCAACAGCATGATCTGTTTTTAACAGACTTAAGCCCATATTCATTTTTGTTTTGCTTAACGATGAGTCACATGCTGATTCCAAATAAAAGCAAGCAATTCCCTGATTTATAATTAAGTCACCCATTAAATCTTAATTGCTTCTTGGACCTCAGAATTACTGGGTCTTGTTCATCTTCCTTGAATCCCTTAAATCAAAAATGAAAGAAATGGTTAAGTTCAGTTTTTATTAATAATCTTGGAACAAATACATGAACAATTCCTTAGAGTTATAAACCATTTTACAATTTTCAAAGAACTTTCACATACACCAATTAAACCCTCACAACATCCCTGTGAGGTAGGCAGGGTCGGTGTTCTTCTATTACAGGAATAATAATTCCTATTATCCTAGTTCAGTATACTAGCCTAGAGAACTAGGCTCAGAGGTGAAGTAAGGTCATATAGTTGGTAAATGATAGAGCCAGGACTAGACCCTAGGCCTTCTGACATGCTGCCTCCCTGAGAACATTCAAGTAATGATATCCTATGCTATATAATGAACATTTCTCTCCTATGATGTTGATCAGATCTGTTTTTATAAATTTGATATCACCTTTTTCCTAATATCCAAAAACACGCAGACTGTGATGAGACATGTCTTCTCTGTTACTGGAATATTTCTCTTCAATTTATCTAGAGCACCATCCTAACATGAAACTTTCTTGTGTTTGAAGTTTTGAGGATCCTTGGCTACAAGTTCTAAATTATGATATGATATGAAAATTTATTTTAGAAAATTCTGCAAAAGTATTCCAATGTTGAATATGTCAAACTTAAAAACAACAAACCTATTTAATATTTTTGAAAGCTTTGGAATCTTTCCCACTAAGAGGTTTAAATGTGTATAAATGGAAAATAAGAGAAAAGTGTTCAGCAACATTACAACATTACTGGGAAACCTACTGGTACACCTAAGTGCCAGTCACATTACACTGATTTGCTTTTATTGTTGGCCTTCTAGAGGAGGGAAAACCATTAGAGAATTTTCAGGTTTGATCCCATCTCATATATGATAACCTCAGCAACAAGCTAGAAAAATGAATTATACCAATAGAAGGGTTCAAGCAGTAGTAATTATATCATACATGTATGTGATAAAAAGGAAGAAAACTTCCTCTTCAGTGGTTTTTGCCTAAGTCCAGTGTAAATATACTTCTCAACGCAGATTTTAAAGCTACAGCATCTTCTATGTTAAATTTAGAAATGTGAAATATGGTGGAGTTATCAACTTGGAATATAAGATCGAAATTGTAGCTGACCCCAAAACTACCTGTTAAAAGCAGAAAAAAGCTCAAGGAGCATAAAAGGAAAGGTGTAAAACTCAACCATTCTGGTATGGAGAGTAAAACAGCAAGGCAAACCTTCGGGTTAAAGTGAACCACAGAATATCAGGCATGTAAAAGCAGATCTTAAAAATAGGAAAATGACACTGAACTGTATTATCAGGAACTACACTTTTAAAATTCCAGTTTTGGCCTTCTAAGAGCACTGGGAGAAACTTAACCCTATGGGGAAGAGGCAGTACAGAAAATGAATGGGATCTAGAAACGGGGTTGAGGTGGGAGGTTAGAGAACAACAAGAAACAAATATGCTTAAAATGGATTTAGAATCCCTTTAAATCCATCTTTTCCAAAAAAATGCTTCCTAAATTTAGAGATTTGGTTAAAAAAAGTTGGTGAAAACCAAAGTTGTGACTATTTTACCTTGAAAAGAAAGTAGTATTTAAATGTAGATAGAAATGATGCTGTTAAAGATTAGTCTACTGATCAGGCTGCAGCAATTGAAACTTAAGTGCTGCTGTCAGTGAAACATGGCAGAAAACTGCTTCCAAATAAAAAACTGTCATGATAGAATTTAACATTAATGAATTAATGTATTAAGAAACAAATACTTTTTTACTTGGAGCTTAATGAAAAAACACTGGTATGCTTAAGACATCTAACAGTTTAAGCCAATGTGAAAAATACTGCAGCTACATTTAAGTTTTCTAAGATAAAACTTGAGAAGATAAAGAATATTCTAGTTCAGTATACTGGGCTCCAAACCAACTACACGTTTGAAATACATCTTGATTGTATTCCTTACATAGTATCATTGTCATCATCTTCTTCATGTTTTCTCTTCAATGGGTTTGATTCGTTGGCCGTGTTCTGTGATGAAACCATGTTGGTGGTAATAAGAATATTTTTGGGCCCAATTATTGAAGGATTAATCAGAACATTTTGAACTGCAGTCGTTGCAGGAACTATAAACAGGAGAAAATACCTTCAAACTGAATTACCCCAAATCAGAAACATGGTAAAAAGTATTCAACAAATCTATAATTCTAACAACAATTTTAATAGCATGAATAGCAACTACATCATAGAAGAAACTAGGGTATTTATACTGCATTAGGAGTTGAATAAAATTTTTTAATACTTTACAGTATTTAAACTAGTATCTAGTACAACATTAAAGTTCTGTTTTTTTTTAAACTTAACTACCTAAAATTTTAGTTAATACTTAGCCATGGGAAGCAGTGTGCTGGATTCATCATGGAACATATTAAAGGCACATGTTCAAGGTCAGGAATCACATTCCCATTATAAGCCAGTATTTTATATAAGTAGTTCACTATGTACATTTAGGTTTCAGAAGATGTTCAATTGAAATATATTCAGTAATAAATTAGGCTATAACAGAATTCTACTTATATATTATTCCAACTTTATATGTATCCTTCCATAAAGTGAGTAAAAGTACAATTTTTATTTGTTGTACACTAAGTTATATTATTTTTTTTAGCTTTAACCCTAAGTGCTTTTCCCTGAAGATGCCTTAGATTTGTGGACCCTAACTTATTTTAGTTGTGTTCTTTGAGAATCTGATGATCATGCTGAATACTCTCCATTTCCAAAACATTACATATTTGTAAAATTTCATACAATTTTAGTGGGGTCATAGACCCTTCTGAAGAACACTAATTTGCAGCATTACTGCCACCTTCCTGGTATATTAAAACAACTTAACTCTTGCTATAAGAATACAAATTATTCTATAATCACAAATTATTCACAAATTTTAAGATTCAGAAAAAATAAAAGAACCACTTTCAATGCCACCCTCCCCATCATGTTACCTGGTTTGACAGGTGTGGACTGAGAAGGTGGAATCTGCACTGTAAATCTTTGGCTTGTCACTGACACTGGAGGTGCAACTTTACTTGGGACAGAAGCTGTTTGTGGGGTTGCTGTAGTTGTAATTAACAGACCATGTTAGTTAGGTGACTTCATTACACAGGTTCATATTCTGCACTCCTTAGCTTATAAGAAACTACCTTCAAAGCACAAGGAACTAATGAATGGTGAGAAAAAAATCAGAAATAAGCATAGTACAAACTCAACGGTTTAAATGCTAAAAGTTCAGGACAGTATAGTAGTAAAGAATGTAGGCTCTGGAGCCTACCTACTTGAGTTTGAATTCAGGCTTTATCACCTACTAGATGAGTGTCCTTGGGCAAGTTATTTAATCTTTTAATACTTTAGTTTTCTCACCTGTCAAATGGAGATAACTATCACATAAGATTCTTGTGAAAGTTAAAATAATCCATGTATAGCTCTTTAAACCACCTGGCACTGAATTTTAGCTACGTGAGGTTGTGAAACTGAGTGTCCAAATAAACCAGCAGAATAAAGACCCAAGTTTTCTATTAATTACCTTAGGTGGCACTTTTAATCTGTCACTTACTGAGAATTAGAAGATGTCTACTATGCCTATGAAGGTAAATCAACATGCATCTAACAAAAGCCTATCAAATACACCTCTTAGGGTCCCCAGGTGGGTACAAAAGTCATATTCCTATTCTATATCCAAGTACTTTTTTTAAACAGAAAGGGATTGTGGAGATAACCTAGTCCAAACCCCCCTCAACTCTACCAGTTATTCCAAGGTACAACTCAAATACCACCCTATTTTATAAAATTTCCTTGATTTGCTCAGAAGTCAATGCCTGACTCTGAAATTGCCTTGTCATAGGAACCTTTATTAGTATCTTCTCCTGTTCACTAAATTACAAGCTTGGCTAACACTTTTTATCCTTAAGAACATATGGTCTTTGTGCCTTACTCCTAATAGGCACTCAACAATTTTTGTTTAATGAATAAATTTTGCAAGACTCAAAGATGTATACTGACATCATAGCTCTCTTAAAAAATACATTTATGGAAACATGTGTGTTCCTAGTTTTTCCTTTGGGGATGCAGGTTTTCCATACATCCCTTTCTCCTGGAACCAGCAGTCTGCCCAGGGAAGAGTTGCTGAAAAAACTACAACTACCCTCTCCAGAAACAAAGGAGAAGAAAGCCTAAATGGGGGAAGAAAGCCTAAATAGGGGAAGAGAGTTCAAAGGTACGCAGGAATCTGGCTCTAATGCTTTCTCTCCCAAACTGAGAAGGTGAGGCCTTACTCTAAGGTATCTTCATTCCTAGGCAAGTTTTCTGTTGTATTAAGGATCAGTTCAAAGAATTTGGTGAAGCTTAATGAAACAGTATGTATTTTATTTTGTCAAGAAATTCACAATAGGTAGATGTTTTCTTGGCCATTACCATAACGATTTAACATTTAAGGAAGTATGGAGTTTAGGTTTTAAAATTGAACAGAGTAGATGCTTAGATCTTGCATACTTTATAGAATTCCATGTTTTCAAAGTTCAAAACTTGTATTTTAATACTAGATTTTAGCAGTTCCCTCATTTTAGATTTTAAAAATCTCTAAAACATGTATAATAAGTGTCTAAAAATCACAACTGGTAACTAAAATTGGTTAACTTGCCAACACGTGCAGTGGATTACCACAGCCCAGAGTTTTTAAAAAATTGGTATTCACTAAAGTAATATGAATCCACAGATACACAGTATATGACCTAAAAGTTACACAAATTATATATGCGAATTTCTGCCCACAAAGGTCACATGCAGGTAACTGGAAGTGTACAACTAATACTATACCCGGTTGATTTTAAAATGTTTAAATGAGAATATGAAGAGATTGTCTACACACTGCATAAATCAAATGCTGCTTACATTAGAGCTATATGACATCTACAGGACTCAAGTTATAAAACATAAGAGCCAAGAAATCAGTACTGGTCAAAGAGGATTATTTCTGAAAATACTTTGATTATGAAAGAAATCCAGCAGGAATGTAGGACCAAAAAAAAAATCAGGAACTCTAAATCTATTTATGTTTCCCTTATTACCTAAGCAACAACATTAAAAAGAAACCTAACGGTTTCTAAATACCATTCTCCACCAAAAGGAACTAGGGCTCTGGAGAAATGGCTGGTTGTAGAACTAGAGTAAGAGAAAATATAAGATGAGCTTAGATCATCTTGTGCCAAAAAGCAATAAAGGCTCAAAGAATGATGGGGACCTGTCATGACACAGGAGACACCTTGAAGGGACAACACAGGACAATCAGTACTACTTCTGAAAAGATTAGTATTAAAAACAATGAGTTTTTCTTTGATATGCTTTTTGTACACTTTAAAATTGTTTGGGTTGCATTCTTTTGCCAGTTTACTCTGAAAGTTCTTTAACTTCTGAAAATAAGTAGGCTACTGCCATGAGTTGTGTTTGGCAACTTGATTTGTATAGAAGGCAGAGAACACAGCTTAAACTGTTTTTGGTATCCCAGTTTATTCCAACAACGCTGGGTAATGTCCAATTCTATACTCATTTGGGATCAGATATTCCTTGTGGCTTTCTCATTTTGAAATCTGATAAGATATATGTTTATAGTTTTACTAGAGGATAAGTAAATGTATCAATGGCAATACACATTTGGGAATTTCTGACTCAGCCTTTGACTTGGATTATAATTTAAAATTAAGTGCCAAGGAACTTCTTTACCAGTCAGAAAAACCATTTCCCTCTCTCACTTACCTATAGTAGGAGTGGAAGGTCTGCTACTAACAGCACCAACACTTAACCGTGGAACTAGTCTTCCTTGGTTAGGTCCCTAGGGGATTTCAAAAACAAGTTAATTTAATGTTGTTTAGATCTGACCCCTAAACTTACCAAGAATGAAATTAGGATTGCTGATGTGACTTATTAATGGATAAACCTATGGCAAGAATGTCGTTTTTGTTTCATCAGTGTTCTTTTTTTTTTTTTTTGTTTCATCAGTGTTCTAAATCCAATATTGAAACTAGTCTTCACAAACATATATATAATATAAATATAATGCATATGCATATGGACATGGATATGAACATACACATAGAAAATTCTATATAGTGTTTAAGGTAGAGTCTTATTTGGGGGATAACAACTAACATCCTTATGACTTTTAATCTTAACTAGTCAATACCTTAACCTAAAAAGAAAGAAACTCTCTTCTAGCAGAATTTCAGACAACAAAGGCAGCTAGCTGAATGTGGGGAGAATTTTCTCAGTGGTGGGAGAGCCTTAGGTCATATTTCATAAAATAAGTCCAATTCCTTATGGTATATCATTTACTCTGTTATCAGGTGTCACAAAAAACTGATAAACAGTGGAAATATTTGGAGGCATGAGACCTGGGAATAAGTCCCAGCTTTGCTACTAACTTCACAGATGGATCGAGGCTCAGTTTCCTGTTGTGAAAATTAAGTGTTGGGTTAGATGAACATTAAAGTTCTTTTTAGCTCTAAAAATTTTGTATTTTAATGTAGTAGTTAATTGCAGACATGGTATTTTCAACGCTATAAATTTTAAAAATCCTAGTAAATTATCTTAGTCTTTATTCTACTAATCTATCTATAGGAATGTGCTTTTTACAAATTGCCCTAACACATCTCATCTTTTTAAAAAACTAATTTGACTAAAAATTCTTACCTTTTTAATTAAGGACTTCAGCCTATAGTTTGGAGCTGTTAAGCAGTATCTGTCGGGTGGCAGTCTGGGTCCTGCATATGGCTTAATCAGTGGTAAAGGGGTTTGATTTTTCTGCCTTGCAATATCCAGTAAAAACTAAAAAAAAATCCTTATTAGAACTACAATTTAAAAATTTTTAAGTAAAATGAACTTCAAATAACTTTGCTCACATCTCTTGGAGGAGGAGAAGTAAAAGACTGATCAGCCCGACACTGGATTGCCAGTCTCACATCATCTGCATCGACATTAGGTTTCTTAGCATGGCTTGAATAAATTTTCGCATCATCCAGAATTGTAGTCACATATCCTTTAAGAACAAAACATTATTTTCTTAAACCTATGAAGACAGCCTAATATTTATGGCCATTTTTCTTAATGGAAGGTTCTACCAGTAGAAAATTTATGAATTTTGGTTCTAATATCTAATTGATCTACATGATCAACTAAAAGATTTTTTATTAAGCTTATTTGAGAGAGCCAGCGAGGTGAGCAGGGGAGGGCAGAGAGAGGGAGAGAGATAATCCTAAGCAGACTCTGTGCTGTCACAGCAGAGCCCAACAAGGGGCTCAATCTCTCAAACCAGGAGGGAGATCATGACCTGAACTAAGATCAAGAGTCAGAAGCTTAATGACTGAATTACCCAGGCTCCCCTCTATATGATCAATTTTAAATAGATATCACAGTATAAATACTACTGTACCCTAGCTTGAGCTCCTTTTTTCTGCTTTAGCCAAGTTCTATGATATTTATTAACTGTTAAAGCAATTTAGTTGAAAATGTTCTTACAATAAAACAATCTTTTCAGATTCACAAGTTAGGCAAATTTTTGGTGTTTTGTTAACTTACGGAAAGCAAATTCCAACATTTGATTTATAACCCTTGGTTCATACTCCGTAATTCCCATATCCTTCAGGATTTGTGCCATCACCTGTAGATTCGAATAAAAACGTCAGATGTATGATGTAGGCACTAGAAATCAAGACTGGGCCGAAGGTAGTATTTGTATTTATGATACAAGGTCCCCCTTTCTCTGGGCTCCAAACTTGTACTCCTATCCTTTTCTTCTCAAGTGTGTATCAGAATCACGCCCAAACCCGTTGTAACCTCTGCTGAAAACTTTTTTTTTTTTTTTTTTTTTTGGCGGGGGTGGGGGCTGGGGCAAAGAGAAGAAAAAGGCCCGGGTTGCCTTTCACCCCGGGAAAGGCAGGGGTGGCTACAGCTGGTTGTCATTTTCTTCTGTGACGATGGGGGAAGAACGCTGGACGCGAGAATCCCGGCTGGCCAACCTGGCGAGACCACAAAGAGTCTGGGGCCCAAGGCCCAGTAGACAAAGCCGGGTGGTTGGACTGCGCACTTCGGCGGGCCGCAAGCCTCCCTCTAGCGGGGCCGCGGGGGTTGCGGGAGAAGCGCCCCAAGGTCCAGACGGGCAGCCCCTTATCCCACTCCTGGCCGCCCCGGCTGGGCTGAAGCCGCACGCGAGCCCAGCCTCAGGCCCTCCGCCGGGGCCTGCCTCCCTAGACGCTGGCCGCGCGGAGCTTCATGCCCCGCCTCTCATCCTTTGCACTTACCAAGGCATCTCTCGGAGCGTTCTTGGGAGGCGCCATCTTGCTCGACTCCATGTTATCCTGCCGCCTGTCATCCGAGGAGAGAGGGCTGATCGCAGGCTCCTCGCTCAGACTCCACCCCTGCGGGGTGCGGAAGGCGGAGTTACAACTCCGGCCCAGCGGGCTGCGGCTTTTCTACTGCTACTCCACGCGGTGGAGGCTGCGGGCAGCTGGGCTATCGGAGCCGGCAGGCCGCGGAGGATTGGCAGAGACGAGTAAGCCTTCCCCGGGGAACCCTCGGCCAACGCTTAGAAGAACCAAGAAGCTCGTCTTTCTAGAGCTGTTCTCCGGTAAAATGTACCAAACGGGTAACCCTTGTCTTTGCTGGGACCCTTCTTCACACTTTCCCTGCTGCCACTCTGGCCCTTCCATCTCCCTGTAATGCCTGCACAAGCCCTGCCTCCACGTGCCCTTGTGGTAGGGTTGCCTGTGTAAATAACACCCAGTTAAAATTTCAGATCAACAACAAATACGTTTTCAACCAAAGTATATCCCAAACACTACATAGGCTATATTTATGTAAAAAATTATTTGTGGTTGATCTCACATTTAAATTTAGCTCGGCGTTCTGTATTTTCATTTGTTAAATCTGGCAACAGCAGGCCTTTGGCCAACTCTCGTCAAGCTCAACGCCTTGTCATCCTCACCCATTTCAGACTGATGAAAAGCTAAAGCCTTTGTGGGCCTGCAAGATTCCCCACCCTGCTGAGCCTCTCCAGCCTTGTCCCTTGTCTTTGAGTAGTTTTCTCCCCTCTCCAGTCTCCACAGAATAACCTGACTTTCAAAAAAAAAAACCATGCATCAGTTAACCATCTCTGTCTTAAAGTGTCCCTGAGAGAACTCTTTCCTATTCTCTACAATCCACCACCGTGTTCTTTAGCCCACGAAAAGGCACTCTGAGCTACCGAGGCCAGTAACAGCAGTCAGCTATGTTACGCACCCTCCCCACAATCCACAATCTATAACAAGTCTTATCAGGGCCACTTCCCAAAGTCGGACCATGTCTGTGTTCCACATCCTCATCCAGTGCTAACCACGCTAACAGTCCAAACCAACAGCTGTACTCACCAAGACTACAGAAAAAGGTCCTGAAAATAGGGCTACCCCACCTTCTTCACACAACCCAACGGATCTCTCAGTCATACATCACATAATTGTATTCCTTTCTTTAAAGCCCTCTAATGGCTTCCTTCACAAAACAAATTCTTACTGATTTCTGGGGGTTAGCAGGCCCTTCAGTTTTGGACACCAGCTCACCTCATCAGGCTCCTCGGAATCAGTCGTCGACCAGTCAGCCATCTTGAATATGAGGCAGGTCCCCCAAGAATCACGTGTTTTTAACACACCATTTCCAGGGGGAACACTGATCCCTGTGGTCCCACAAGCACCTTTCTCAGCTGACCGTGGACGATCACTATATAAGACTTACAGTGATTTTCTCACTTTGGAATAGGTAGTAGATACACAAGGTGCAAAATTTTAAAAATACATTTAAAAAAATAAGAAAAAGAAACTTTCTGGTTTCTTGTAGCCACTAATTTATCTTTCACAGGAGGCACCACTGTTTACCAGTTTCTTGTCTATGTAATTTACAAACACCAACTTTTTAATTTTTTTGTTCCTCCATCCGAATGGTACCATACAGTTGGGGTGATGAAACTTCAGGGCGCCAACACAGGACATAGCCATACAAGATGAAAAGACCTATGAAAGGCCTATAATATATAATAAATAACTGTGCACATGTGTTATTGCTTTAATATAAAAATATGAAAATAGATGTTTATTTAAAATTGCTTTTCTGTATTTTCTGTTACATACATGCTATTATTTAAACAAGACAATAGGACTAATTAAGAGTGGCAATTAGTATTAATAGTAGGACTAATTAAATACTTTGTGTGAGAAAATATAATATTTTTCATATTTCTGTCCCGTTACAGCAATTTATTTTAATTCTTGGATATTTAAATTTTATAAGTTGTAGTATGTATTCTTAGTTTACATAAATATAAGATGTTTAAAAAAGAGAATGTGAATACATTATGACAAGTTAAACATATCTTCTATTGCTTATATTTAGTAAAAATAACAATGAAATGTTTTTCTTGGCCCCATGTTACAGTAGGATAATTTTGCTCTTTCTGTTTATCGAAAAATACTTCTCTGAACTGCCTGCAGCCATTAACTGCAGCCATCATTCTTTTCTTTTATGTAGCGGTAAAACTGAATATAGTCTAACATAATATTCACTTTTATATGAATTTTTGGTCTTATCAAGTCCACATTAGACTGATTCTTGGTGTCAGTCCAGTGTGGTGACATCAACCTAAATGTCCTTTCAAAAAAAGTGTTTGAGTATGTAATATTCCTAAGTATTACTTGCTAGGAATATCAGGTTTTTAGATTTGTAGGAATTAGTTCTAACCTCTCTAGAAATGTCTGTTCACTTAGTACTGGAGGTTTTGTCTTGGTAGAGCAGTTATTTGTCAGTTAGATAGGCACTTTGCATCTATACATTCATCCTTTTTTATTTCAACTTTTTATTAATTTTTCTTTTTTTCTTTTTGCTTACTTTAAATTCAAGTTAGTTAACATACAGTGTAGTCTTGCCTTTAGGAGTGGAATGCAGTGATTCATCTCTTACATGCGACAACCAGTGCTCAATCCCAAAAAGTGTCCTCCTTAATGTCCACCCCATTTAGCCCATCCCCCCACCCACCTCCCCTGCAGCAACCCTCAGCTTGTTCTCTGTATTTACAAGTCTCTTATGGTTTGCTTCCCTCTCTGTTTTTATCTTATTTTTCCTTCCCTTCCCCTATGTTCATCTGTTGTATTTCTCAAATTCCACATATGAGTGAAATCATATGATATCTGTCTTTCTCTGACTGACTTATTGTGCTTAGCGTAATACACTCTAGTTCCATCTACGTTGTTGCAAATGGCAAGATTTTATTCTTTTTGACTGCCAAGTAATGTTCCACTGTGTCATCATCTTTATCCATTCATCAGTCGATGGACATTTGGGCTCTTTCCATAATTGGGCTATTGTCGATAGTGCTGTTATAAACATTGGGGTGCATGTGCCCCTTCGAATCAGCACTCCTGTACTCCTGTATCCTTTGGATAAATTCTTAGTAGTGCTATTACTGGGTTGTAGGGTAGTTCTATTTTGAATTTTTTGAGGAACTTCCATACTGTTTTCCAGAGTGGCTGCACCAGTTTGCATTCCCACCAGCAGTGCAAAAGAGATCCTCTTTCTCCACATTGTTGCCAAAATCTGTTGTTTCCTGAGTTGTTCGTTTTAGCCATTCTGAAAGATGTGAGGGTAGTATCTCATTGTGGTTTTGATTTGTATTTCCCTGATGATGAGTGATGAGCATCTTTTTATGTGTCTATGAGCCATCTGGATGCCTTGTTTGGAAAAGTGTCTATTCATGTCTTCTGCCCATTTTTTCACTGGATTATTTTCCAGGTGTTGAGTTTGGTAAGTTCTTTGTAGATTTTGGATACTAACCCTTTATCTGAAATGTCATTTGCAATTATCTTCTCCCATTCCATCAGTTGCCTTTTGGTTTTGCTGATTATTTCCTTTGCAGTACAGAAGCTTTTCATCTTGATGAATTGCAATCTTTCATTTTTGCTTTTATTTCCCTTGCCTCTAGAGACATGTCAAGTAAGAAGTCGCTGTGGCCTAGGTCAAAGAGGTTTCTGCCTGTTTTCTCCTCTAGGATTTTGATGGTTTCCTGTCTCACATTTAGGTCTTTCATCCACTTTGAATTTATTTTTGTGTATGATGTAATAAAGGGGTCCAGTTTCATTCTTCTGTGTGTTGCTGTCCAGTTCTCCCAGCACCATTTGCTGAAGAGAGTGTCTTTTTTTCCATTGGATACTCTTTCCTGCTTTGTCAAAGATTAGTTGGTCATATATTTGTGGGCCCGTTTCTGGGTTCTCTATTCAATTCCATTGATCTAGGTGTCTGTTTTTGTGTCAATACCGTACTGTCTTGATGATTACAGCTTTGTAATACACCTTGATGATTACAGCTTTGTAATACACCTTAATGTCCAGAACTTTGATGCCTCCAGCTTTGATTTTCTTTTTCAGGATTGCTTTGGCTATTCAGGGTCTTTTCTGGTTCCATACAAATTTTAGGATTGTTTGTTCTAGCTCTGTGGGTAATCCTGCTGTTATTTTGGTAGGGATTGCATTGAGTGTGTAGATTGCTTTGGGTATTATTGACATTTAACAATTTTTGTTCTTCCAGTCATGAGCATGGAATGTTTTTCCATTTCTTTGTATCTTCTTCAGTTGCTTTCATAAGCTTTCTGTAGTTTTCAGCATACAGATCTTTTACGTCTTTGGTTAGGTTTATTCCTCGGTATCTTATTGATTTTGGTGCAATTGTAAATGGGACCAATCTGTGATATCTCTTTCTGCTGCTTCATTATTGGTGTATAGAAATGCAACTGCTTCATTAATGGTGTATAGAAATGCAACTGATTTCTGTACATTGATTTTGTATCCTGTGACTTTGCTGAATTCATGTATCAGCTCTAACAGTTTTTTTGTGGGGTCTTTCAGGTTTTCCATGAAGAGTGTCATGTCATCTGTGAAGAGTGAAGTTTGAATTCTCTCTTGCTGATCTGTATTCCTTTTATTTCTTTTTGTTTTATGATTGCTGAGGCTAGGACTTCCAGTAGCAACAACAGTGGCGAGAGTGGACATCTCAGTTGTGTTCCTGACCTTAGGGGGAAAGCTCTCAGTTTTTCCCCATTGAGGATGGTATTAGCTGTGGGCCTTTCATATATGGCTTTTATAATGTTAAGATACATTCCTTCTATTCCTCTTTCTTGAAGGTTTTTATCATGAAAGGATGCTGTATTTTGTCAAACACTTTTTATGCATATCTTGAAATAATCATATGGTTCCTATCCTTTCTTTTATTAATGTGGTGTATCACATTGATTGTTTTGCAAATATTAAAACTGCCTTGCAGCTTAGGAATAAATCCCACTTGATC